ACCGTGCTGTTTTTATTACAGTGGCTTTGTAGTATAGTTTCAAGTTGGGGATTGTGATACCCCCTGTCATGTCTCTGTTGCCTAGAATTGCTTTTGCTACTGTAGGTCTCTTCTGGTTCCAATTGAATTTTTGTATTATTTTCTCTAGTTCTGTGAAATATACTGTTGGGATTTCTATCGGGATTGCATTGACTCTGTATAGCAGTTTTGAAAGTATGGCCATTTTCACTATGTTGGTTCTTCCTACCCAGGAGCAAAGGATGTCTTTCCATTTTCTTATATCCTCTTCAATCTCTTTTTTCAAAGTGCAGTAGTTTTCAGTGTAGAGGTCGTTTGTCTCCTTTGTTAGATTGATTCCTAGATACTTCATTTTTTGGATGCTATTGTGAAAGGAATTGTTTCCTTAATTTCTCTCTCAGTGAATCTGTTATTTGTGTACAAGAAGGCTATTGATTTTTGAGTGTTTACCTTATATCCAGCTACTCTACCGAATCTGTCAATTAAGTCTAGAAGTCTGGGGCTGGGGATTTAGCTCAGTGGTTTCACTGCCTGCTGCTCAAGGGCAAGGACCTGAGTTCGATCCCTGGTACCAAAATAAAAAAAGAATAAGTCTAGAAGTCTTTTGGCAGAATTTTTTGGGTCTTCTATGTAGAGTATCATATCATCAGCAAATAATAACAGTTTAACTTCTTCCTTTTCTATCTTTATTCCTTTTATTTCTTTCCCTGATGTGTTATCTTTATCCCAGACTAATGCCACCTTCTCTTCAGCTCTCCTAGGAATGGGAAGAGAAAGGGGACAAGTAGGATTTGGGCAGTCTGACTGGGATTCTGAGCCAGTCTGATTCAGCGTGGTGTTCCCTCAGGCACTCTGCAGAGGGCAATGGCTGTAAAACACAGTCTGCATTTCCTCTCTGTTTTCTGTACTGATGCTGGAGTGGTCTTTGTTCTCTTACATCTTTCTGTGGCAGCCACCGCCTGCAGAGCGGGAAAGAGCCTCCACAGTCTGTCCATCACTCCAGCTCCTAAAGGGAAAGGATCCTGTGTGATTCATTTTTTTAATTCCTAGCTTGTAAAACAGGACTTGGCATACATTCTTATGTCCACAAAAAGGACAGAGGAGGGTTTGTATGAATGAATAGGAATGTGCTCTTAAACCCTAAGTGGCTATACAGATGTAAGTCATTCTAGCTCCCATGGCATTTTAGTGCAGTACGTGGCAGGTGACCACTTTCTGGAAAAGGTAGAGGGATGGGAAAAATGGGAAAAGATACTTTCTTTAAAGCAAAGCCTAAGAACAAAAATAAGGGCTTGGAATGTAGAAGTGCTGACAACAGAAACTAGACCAAAAAGAGTCAACCTTAAAACCTCTTGGTTGAATTTTGAAATATGAGCAGGAGGACTGAGGAAGAGAAGCTTTCTTGTACTTCTGCAGTAGGACTATCTAGAAGTCAGAGGAGAATGAAAGGGCAGAAAGACTATAAAGTATCAATAGACATTATAACTATAAATAACTATCTTTTCTTCTATTCTGGTTTATCTTTATCATTCTAGCAGGTTATAACATTTTAAATGTGATTTCAAAGGAAGAATGGAGGGTAGAGGGGCAATTAACTAAATTCTTTCAGGGCATTTTGTAGAAATAAGGTAAGCCATCAAGAGCACTGAATCTGCCTGCTACCCTAGTAATCTCTCTAGAACTTTTTAGCATCCTTTATTATCTAGACCAGGGCTTCTCAAGCCGTCTATGGAGAGGGACTGTGAGGTCTGGCTGTGTCTGTTTTCTTCCACCTTGTCATGCATATGTGCTTTATGAATATAATAAAAGGAATTACTGGAAAAATTAAACAGAAAAGACTAAGACATACCTAATACAAGCACAAACTTATTTCTAGACAGAACTCAGCAGTTAGTCACTTGTTCTGTTGAACTATTATAAAAGTTTCTGTATTTATCTCATTGCAAATCAGAAACAGTTTGAAAACTGATTCCTGTACATTTACCACACCTTACAGAGCACCCATTTAGACTCTACTTGGCTATTTTCAGTAACAGACTGTACCAGCAATGAAAAGTTCATAAGAGGAGAACACTCATGTTCAGATTTTATAACAGTGGAGATCTTAAGGGGATAAACTAATTAGAAAACAAATGCTTTAAAGGAAATCTAAAATCACAAAATGGAAAATTACTTAAAAGGTGAAAAGCTCTTCTTTTGTGTGTATCTCCCCACTCTCCCTCCCAGAGGTAGAGTGAGTTCTTTGATCCTCTTGGAAAATAATTGTTTGTAGTGCAAAAGTTTTAAATTGATCCTTTGTTAGGGCTGGGTGTGGTGGTACATGCCTGTAATCCCAGCACTCAGGAGGCAGAGGCATGAGGATTCCCATGAGTTCAAGGCCGGCCTGGGCTACATAGTGAGTTCAGGGCTAGCCTGAACTACAAAGGAGACCCTGTCTCAAAAAAAAAAAATTGATCCTTACTTTTTAAGAGTAGGGGAGCCAGTGTGGTGCTGACATCCAGCCAATATCATTAATAAGCAGCATGACAGGCTCTAATAAATTTTGTCAGGATCCTGACTGTGTCATTTTGAGCACAGAATGAACTGTTATTATCACAGAGCTGCAAACCTCTCATTTTGGCTCCAGATGATTACAGCTGCTAGTGCAGCTCTTGCTAAAGTAGTTTTTAGTAACTGGTTCAGGGTTAAAGTATCATATTTAAAAGACTTAATGATGATCAGTGTGGGGAACCAGTTGTGGCCATGCGACTTTGATGTGTTTCTAGAGTGACTTACAAAAATGTGGACTCCTAATGATCTATTTTCTCAACAATTTCAGAAAACAAGCGGCTCTTAAAATCCAGTGTCTCTACCACGGACCCTGAGGGTTTTGAAACTCTTTCAATTGGAGATGGGCCATTATTTGTTGGAAATGGGCCATGGTTCTTTTTCTCTAATCCCAGATGAAATTTTTCCAGCCCCTTAAGTCAGTCTTTCTTTCACATAAAGAATTTAGTCTCAGGTTTTTGTGAATGAGCAAGCTTCGTATTCGAAGTGAGGAAAAAGATTGTCAATTCTCTCTTTAGAGCCGCTGGAGCCGGCTGGGTAAATCTGGCACAGGGACGACATCTCAGTCCCCCTTCTCACCCGCTCTGTCCGTGTGGGTCATGCTGGTCCACGCTGTCTGGTTTTCCTATCTTAATTTTGCATACAATATGTTGTATTAGAATGTCCAGCAAAGTATTAATCTATTATCAAATGTAATCAGCCAAGGCGAATTGAGTATGAGTCTGTCCCTTTGTACCATGTGGACCATTTAACTAAAAGTATGGATGGATACTTTTAATTTGTTGAAGAAGTGCAGGTTTGTGTTTGTCATTAGTGTTGGTGGTGGGTTTTTTGTTGTTGTTGCTTTTTTTTTTTTTTTTGCTTGTGGTACTAAATATTGAACCCAAGACCTTCACTCCAAGCTACATCCCTATCCCTTTTATTTTATTTTTTTCATTTTGAGACATTTTCTCACTAAGTTTTAGCTAAGTTGCCCAGGCTGGAAAGTGCAGGTTTTACACATTGATCAGAATGTACCATTACTTCAGTTCTAGTTTTCATTAGCTTCTCTTGGCTGGACATTAACTCTGTCCCCTCAGCTACTTAGCCTCCTGGTAATTGTTCCGTTCCTGACAGTAAAGAGAAAAGGTCTTGCTATTGGGAGTTTTAATGCCAACCTCACTTAACTTTTACGAACCTAGTTTGTTATTGAGATGACCGCTTTCTTAGAAAAGCTGTTACCAAGAAAGCTTTCATAAAGTTGATCAACATTGATTCATATATGATAATAATTTTAGTATCAAAGATATGATATCAAAGTATCATATCAACTTATTTGATATGAACTATAAGACGTGCTGTTTAAGAAAGTTAACGATGAACCCTTTGCCTTTAACTGGAGGAACAAAGAGAGCATGACACAATGAATGAGGATTATGAAAAGCTGTAAGAAACACCTGATGGTTCTTAAATCCAGCTGCTTCTTCTAATCGCATCTGAAGACTGCTGTGTTTGCCATTGGCCAGTGCCATGGGCCGTGGTGCTGGGCTTGGGGTGTGGGTGACGTTTCCACTGCACACTGCAGGTCACATGTTATGTTTGGTAGGAAGCCATGCTGCATTGTTCAACCCCAGAGCAGGGAATGGTATTTATTTTCTATTTTACGTTATTTCAGCTGTTTTCACTTTTTTCTTTATTGTTTTCTTGCCTCCTGCAGAGTTCTTTCTCAAGCATTGCTGGGGAGAGGGGAACACTCAGTCATGAACTCTTCAGCACACAAGGGGCGGAAAGCAGTTTTCCCTTTCTCAGCGGTTCAAATAGCTTCTTAGCCACCTCCATTTAGTCCATTGTGGGTCTGAATCTGTGTGGGAACTGTTTCTGTCTGAAAACATATAAAATCATTTCAGAGTTTTCCCCTGGCTCATTAATATAGCCTACCACATAGGATAAGCAAATTGTATGCCTATTTTTTTAATACTGTTTAGTAAGTTGGTATTTGAAGGAGAATTTGGTTCTATACTTTAATCTTTATGACTTAAAGGTTATGCTTAAAGTAACTATCACATTTCAGAAATTTTATTTCTGGCTTCCAACTAAATAAATTTTGAAGTCTCTTTTTATGACATAAATCAGTCAAAGGGATAGGAGATTATGTTATACCAAAACTTTGATGTCACTGGTAACTGTTAGTGATACCCATCAAGGGACGCTTTAATACATTTGGGGGTACACGCACTAGTGTGTACCACACTCTTTCCCTTTGATAAAAATTCATGTTCTAGAAATGGTTTAAATTTGTCATCATTAATGAGAGAGCAGTTCTGTATTCTCATGGTTAATGAGCACATCAGTATCATAATTACTTGAAACAGATATGAACAATTCATCTTGCATAATTAAATTTCACTTGGAAAAGGTCAGGAGTGTTTAAGGAGCCCTTCTCATTGATTTCACAGGATTACCTAGACTGTATCAGGGATCAAACAAAACTTCCCCTGGAGACTGAAGATAGATCTGCCCTTTTTGGAAACATACAAGATATCTACCACTTCAATAGGTAAGTAGATACTCACAAGGTTGTTCTCACACAGGAACTTTATGAATTTTTCTCGAATACAGCCTAGGAAAACTTCACCTATAATCTCTGATAATTTTTATGGCCATTATGCTGTGGAGTTTTCTGGCTAGCAGCATCCCTGTTTTCTGTGTGTTTATTACAGTTATTCAAAATTCTATCCCTCTCCATGTTTGTCCTGGGAGAGCATTAACATTTTTATTCCACAGGAGGACGTGAATAGGACATTGAGAAATACAAACTTGCCTGGTTTCCAGCACCCTCCTATGCTGGATTTTCTATAAATTTTCTTTACATCCAGTAAATCCTTTTACATTATAACACAGACTTTAATTAATAATCATTTCAAAGAATTTAATTCAAACACTAATTCTCATGCTTTCTGTGTTCGAATCTTACTTTCTCAACAAGGCTTTCCCACTACACACATACATACACACTTCACCTTTACTTTTTCCTTTTTTTTTAATCTTTTTTTTTCTTTCTATTTTTTCCTTTTCTTGTAGCACCCATCAATTTCTAACATACTCTTGCTGAGCTTTTTAGATTATTTCTGTTGTTTCATTCCCCACCCATCTCACAGGACATAGGGATGTGTCTGCTTTGTTACTGCCCAAGGGCCTAAAACAGCTCTTGGGACTTAGGGTCATTCAAACTTTTATTGAACAAATAAATGGAAATCTGCCCCTTGTAGTGTTGTGAGACTTCGTAAGCTGATACACCTCACATGTCAGGTCAGTCCCAGCAAACCCTAAAATGTTACTGGTGATGATGTGGCTTTTGCTATACTGAAATTCCATTGTAAAATTCCACCCTGTACTGTCATTATGTGACTCAACTATAATGCCAGCTGAATCTTGCACCTCTTTGCTTACAAAGGTTGGTAAAGGTGAGCTCCCTGGGGACCAGACCCCCATCTCCTTTACCATCCCCAAATCTCTGTATCCTAGCACTAGCCTGGCCTTTAGGAGACATGGTTGTTGAGTTGAATCAACTCATCCTTTGATTCTGAAGACATAGGATGTGGGAATCACTAGTATTATACCAGGGTTTCTTGCTCATGTAACCCTGACTTTGAAAAACAGATTATGGTTTGAGTCAGTAGTTCCCCTCCAGGGCTACACACTGGCATCATCAGGGGAGCTTTTAAAAAAGATAACAGTGGATGGATCCAATCTCCAGAAATTTTTACTCATTGGTCAGGAGTGGAACTTTTTCATAAGGTCCTCAGGTGTTTGTAATGTGCAGCCATGGTGGAGAAGCACCGTCCAGATAAACACAACAATAAGAAGAGGGAGAAAAGGCATAAAAAACTGAAATGGAGAATCATGTTAATTAGCAAAGTGTTGGTGTTAATGCAGGCCCCGTTTAACTGTTTCTGATGATAAAATCCCATGAGTGTGGTTTCTCTTTCCTGAGTCATGAAGGACACTATGGCCTGAAAAGAGGAGAGAGAACACTAGGAGGGCCCTGGCCTAAGTCTCCTGTGCCTTGTCTGTCAGCTGATGGTAACAGGTAGTTGCAACATGCTTCCTTCATGCCAGAGCCCAGAGAGCTTTAAACAGTTACCACTTCAGATGCATCATCTGGGACTCGCTGACTCCAGCCCAGCATTGAGCCATGTGCCCTCCTGTGAGAGCTGAGCCCAACTTCTCAAGCCTGAATCCTGTAGTGTGACTGACTCCAGGAGTACTTTTTATTCCTGGAATTTAAATGTTCGTGTGCCTCTTGATTTAAATACAGATTAAAAACGAGTTAGCAAAAGAGACTCAGCAGTGGAGACCAGTCTGCAAAATTTGGATGACAGAGAAGATCTTGACATTCCTGAATTGGTCCTTGGTTCTTCTCTGTTTGGTGTCTCTTGATCATGAAAATCAGACCTGTCTAAAATAAACCTGAGTCAGAGCAAAGGAAGAACCTGATGATGATGCATCATCAATGTGAGGTATCAGTGTAATGACACAATTACAAGGGATCATGTTCATGCCTGTCCCTGTGTAAATCACTTCAGTATATTCCCTGTACTCACATTATCTCATTTAATCATCTTAACAGCTCTTCAAGGCAGAAAGGATGCAATATTGCTCATACTTTCTTTGTGTGTGTGGCACTGGGGATTGAACCCAGGGCTTGAGTACTGAGCTACATCCCCAGTCTCTCTCTCTCACTCAGTCTCACTAAGTTGCTCAGTCTGGGGCTCAAACTTGAGATCTTCCTGCCTTAGCCTCCCACAGTGCTGGGATTATAGATGTGTACCATCAGGCCTGGCTTGTACACATATTTTATAAATGAGAAATCAACTTACCGACCAGAAAGTCCTCTGCGCAAGGACATAGAGCTACAAATCCAGTGTCATCCACCTTAAATACCTAGTTTTGTCAAATCTCTAAATCTTTCACTGTTTTTTATATCTTGTTTAATTTTTACAGCCAAATTGTTTGTTATATTTATCCCCATTTGTTTTTATTTCCTTTCTCTTAAACCTAGAATCTAAATTTAGAGCTCACATGTCTTTGATGTTGTTATATTTGGTTGAGTAAGAATATTGATGTGACTTTTTATGCCAGTGTTCCTAATGAATTTTTTATTATATACCTTAATCAGTTGATTTCAAAGATACAACTATCTGGCAAATCGATGTTCAGGCTTGAAATACTAAGCTTTACAGTGTCTATTATTAGTTCAGATCCAGGTTTTCAACATAATATAATAATGTTATGACCAACTAGGCAAGACTTAAATCTCCAAAATTAAAGAGGGCCAAAAAAAATGGCTTTGCTGTGGTCTGAAAATTTTAGCTGACTAGATTTCTTTTTTCAAGAAATATAGACTGAGATCCCTAATCTGAAAATCCAAAATTCTAAATGCTCCAAAATCTGAAGCTTTCTGAGCGTTGCTGTAACTCCACAGGTGGAAAAATCCCACTTTTGATCACATGTGACATACTGTAGTCAAAATGCACCAAAAATTACCTTCACACTGCATGTAGAAGGTGTATATGAAACAAATCAATTTTATGTTTAGACATGGATCCCATCCCCAAGATATCTCACTGAGTATATGCTCACTGAGTCAAAAAAATATTTTTTTTAAACTCTGAAATCTAAGATACTTCTGGTGGGCCAGGGATATTGCTCAGCAGTGCTGTGTCTGCCTTATAAGCACAAGGTCCTCAGTTCTATTCCCAGTACCTGAAAAAAAATAAAAATAAAAATAAATAAAATACTTCTGGTCCCAAGTATATGGGATAAGGGATATTCAACTTGTATTTCCCAAATACAGAAAAGAGTAGAATGATATGAAAAAATCCATTAAACTCTAACAAAGCTGTTTTTTGTACTATTATTTGCTTTAGAAATTATCTGAAGCATAAAGACATTACAGATAATATTAAAGCCACTCATATACCCTGCCCCATACTCATATTGCTCTATGGAGAAAGGTGCACTAATGTGTGTGTGGTAAGACATTCTCCAACACAAAGATAAGAAGAGGGAAAATCGGAAGTTGGTGTGTTACTGATGTCTATAGTGTAAACACTTCCATCTGGGCAGAGTTCAAGGTACTAACAGAACAACACTGAAGATTAGGAAACTAGACAGAAGTGCTGCAGGCAAATCCTGTAATCTGACTCAGTACTCCACTATACTATAGCTACTAAGTCTTGGTGTTTCACTCCCTAGCATGGTTTTGGTTTTTTGCCCTTATTGTATATGTAAGTATTTATTTAAAATATGCAATATGCTTTCACTCATTTCAAATGGGTGGTATCAGCCTCTTACAGACTTATTCTTCAGCCAACACTGTTCTTGAGATTTAAACTATAGTTCGTTTAACCGCTACGTACTATTCCACAGGGGGATGTATCACTTTGCATTTTGCCAATTGTAGTACATGAGAGTATCTTTTCTTACTGGCCACTTAGATTTCTTCTGTAATTTTCTGGCTCATAACCATCGCCTGTTTTCCTGTTGGGTGTTTCTTTTTCTTATTGTCGTGTAGGAGTTCTTGATGGATCCTGGCTACTGATCTTTGAGGTTTGAGTTGCACATATCTCCTAGCATGAGGCATGTCTTTTAACTTTAATCATGGTTTCTCTGAAAATAAATTGTATAATTTATAAGTTTAACAGCACTGTACTTTTCATGGTGGAAAGATTTTATGTTTTATTTTGAAATTATCTCTTGATCTTGGATCATAAATATACTCTGTTTTTTTAAACTCCTAAAATTGTACTTTTCACATTTGTCTTTAATTCACATAAACTTGATAGAAGCGTGACATATGGTAGGGATTCAAATTCTTACTTCCTATGGCAGTGGTCCCAGCACCACTAATTGAAAGGTACCACTTCTTCATACTGATCTGTAGTCCACATTCCTCTTGTGTCAATTTTACATGGCTGTGTGGGTCTGGTTCTGGACTCTGATCCTCTTCCATTACTCTGTTTATCCAGCCTTGGCCATGTCGCACTGTCTCCATTATTAAGCCCACATTGCTTTACTTCAGCCCTGGCTTAGCTTTTCTTGATTCTTCCCTATGAATTGATTTTTTAATTAGTTTGTCAAGTTTTATGAAACACTCTGTTGGGATTTTTATTGGAATTGCATTAAAATTATTTGTCAGAATAGACATTTTTACAATACCATGTCATCCCACTCATAGACATCTATCTCTTTAGTCAGCTTTTTAAAATATCCTTTAATAATATTTTATAATTTCTCTAAAACATTCCTACATGTAGCTTTTAAAAATTCATTCCAAGGGCTGGGGTTGTAGCTTGTAGTAGAGTGTTTACTTAGCTGGGTTCAATCCCCACTACTATTATAAAAAAAAATTCATCCCTAGATAGCTTTAGATGTTACTCTGACTAGAACACTTTTTCTATTCTTTTAACGTGCTATTATTCTCATCCTTAAATGACTTTCATTTTTATATGTAGATACTGTATCAAACTTTCTAAGCTTTTGCATTAGTTCTGA